CTCTTAATCACTCTGGAATTAGAAAGGAAATTATATTAGGCCTATTATTATTATTCTTATTATTGAGTTTATAGGGTATGGTGGTTTTGCAGTTGTAAACACTACTACTGTTGTTGTAGAAAAAATTCTTATTTAAAATATAATTCTATTCTAATCCTGTTGTGAATTTATTCTTTTTTTTTTAATGATAATAAAAATAGGATTGATAAGTATAAACCTGTTTTATCAGTGTTGTGATTATTTTTTAAGGCACTCTACGTTTTTTTTTAAATAAATACTGTAATAATAAAAGTTCAAAGTAATAGTTTTTAGTCAGATAACATAAAGACAAGACCCCTCGACACCCTTTAAACATTTCCCAATCAAACAGCAAGAACAGGCACCTTTGTTTGTGTGTAGAACGCTAGCTGCATTTTTTATATTTAATTTTAAAGAAATGTAATTTCGTCCCCCGCACTTTATTCGGGCCGGTGTGTTCACATAGAGGTTTCTAGATTTAAATTCAAAGAGGCAGCATCGATAGTCTATGCATGACCTGACCTTTTATTCGTATCCAAAATGAGGAGAATATGAATATCTGGATGCAGTGTATGTTTAATTCATACTCAAAGCCGGAGGGCGCTCTCGAGCAGAAAGTCCAAAACAGACTCATAGAAGGAATAACTTATGACATGCAGGAAATCCCTAAAATGGACAAAAGCATCCTGCTATAGCTGAGCTTGAATAAAAAGCAGAAACAGAAGACAAACACATGATTGCGAAAATATATACGGTTTATGTGTGTTTTTCAGGTAATAAGTTTCAGGTTTTCCAGGTAATAAATAAACTATGAATAATGCAGTACTGATTGACATATTATTTACTATAGAAACTATAAAATATATTTCCTGCATTATTCTGTGATAAAAATGGGGAAAAGGTGTTCGTAGTAGCCTTTATAAACCAATCATAAAATTGTCATTAGGAAAATATTGAACAAAAATATTATAGCTCCTTGCTGCAGCTACTTCCACAGGCTACACGCATTAAAATGGACAAAAGCATCCTGCTATAGCTGAGCTTGAATAAAAAGCAGAAACAGAAGACAAACACATGATTGCGAAAATATATACGGTTTATGTGTGTTTTTCAACTTATCTCCAGGTAATAAATAAGCTATGAATAATGCAGTACTGATTGACATATCATTTAGTAGCCTATAGAAACTATAAAATATATTTCCTGCCTTATTCTGTGATTTAAAAATGGGGTAAGGTGCTTGTAGTAGCCTTCCTAAACCAATCATAAAATTGTCATTAGGAAAATATTGAACGAAAATATTATAGCCCCTTGCTGCAGCTAACCTTACTTCCACAGGCTACAAACGGCAATATAATACAGCTGTGCATGCTCTTTTCACACCGTTCTTGTAAAATAATAATAATTTAATGATATAAGTATACAAGCACACCGCTCCGCTGAGAACTACACTTACCGGCAGCTGCGGACGTTATGAAGGCATCCTGATAGTGCGCTACATTAAATGTGTCTGAACTTAAGCGATCGTCCCGGATGAGATCGTCAGGTGAAAGGTCATCATTATGTGGATAATTTTATTTACGGCTAAATTATTAATTAATTTTACTAATAGTTAGATTGGGCAGGCCTTCACAAAATGGCGTTTAATTACAAAAAACTAATTGCCTTGACAAAAGGGCACTTTGGGCTAGAGGTCTGCGCGGGACTGTTTTTTTTGTCCCGCTCCCTCAAGGTTCTATTCCGCACCCACCCGCTCCCGCTATATATTCACTCTGTTCACTCGCTGTCAGCTTACAATAATTTTCTTCCCGACCCGACTGTTGCCGCTAAATTTAGATCTCGTTTCCAGAATCTCACATTTAAATTTCCGCTACTGAAAGAAAGAGAGATAGGCAGACAAATAAAAGTGTAGTCTGCACAAAATTGTATGTTATTTTATTCGTCTTGTCAAGAGTCTTGAATTTATTGACTTTGAATTGAATTTATATGAATTATCTTAAGACACAAAATGTGTTTAATATTTTATGCAACACAGTAGGAAAAAAAGTGTCAGAGAAAATAAAAATGTACAAAAATTTTATTTTACATTTTTATTCGTCTTGTCCGGATACAGTTCATTTAACATTGACAACACGATAGGAAAAAAGTGTCGCAGAAAAAAAATTAAATAATGTAGGTTGTACAAAAATAGCCTATTAACTATTTTTATTCGTCTTGTCAAAATACTAAATTCGTTTGACATTTCTGTTAACACATTAGGAAAAGTGTCGCAGAGAAAAATAAATAAATACGACATCTTTCATTTAAAATTATAGGCTAAGCAAGATATAAACAAAACCGAGTTGAACGTCCTTCAAGCAGTGTTGTCAATTTGGGGATTTTGTCGCCAAATTTAGCTACTTTCTCATTGTAGCTGCGACTTTTTTAAAAATTTTTTGCGACAAGGAACTATTTTAGCTATATTTAAATAAAACTAGCTATTTAATTTTTTTGGAGATTTTTGTATTTTTTACTTGGCTACACCCTGCCGTAGGCCCGTGACCGCTCACGTTTGCTCTCAATCATGCCAATGAGTCTGCGCAGTCAAGTACGCCACGCCTGCCATGACGCACACCACAATTTCATTATAAGCATCAATCTAGATGGCGGAGAAAAAATGAACATCTTGTTTTAACCACGGACACAAAAGATATACCACAATTCATGCACCGTCATGTCAACCAGATACTGAGAGAGAGACAGTGCATCATCGTGTCATGTGTGCTGGGATGCAGTATTTTGCACTTACTTTGTAGTAATAGAGTGTGTTGACTGAAATAAGTTTGTATGAGGAGAATCATAATATCTTTTAAGTTATCTGTTGTAGGGATGCACCGATATGAAAATTTTGTCCGATACCGATAACCGATTATTCTTTATTTTTGAAAGCCAATAACCGATATGCTGGCCGATAAATCTATATCCAAATTGTTATATACTTTTTGAGAGCCTGATTACAAAAAAGGTCTCATCATTAAAAGCCACATCCCAAACACTTCAACATAAGCAGCCTAGTTTGAACGGTGTACGTTTTAAAAATATTTTTACTCTCCCATTACCAAATTTAGTCATAAAAAAGTCTTACAAATAAATAAAATAATGCATAAATAATGCAAACAAGTCACTGGACATCATTACACGTGTAAAGAATCAAAATGAATGCGCCATAGATCAATAAAACGGAATAGCCTCTGCACGGACAATAATTAAATGATTTTAATTACTGTGGTCAATAAGAATAAAGCACAGATATGCTGTTCTAAATGGACGTCGGCAACGGGATATTGTTAGACCGCCCGCTCCCGTTCAGATTACACCAGTTACCGACCACTACTGTGTTTTATTCGGGAATTTAATCCCATGGCACAAAAAATCTGGTCGGGTCCGGTCGGGTGTAGACCTCTACTTTGGGCATCAAGGGGAAAAGGGGCAGGTGCTCAAGCACCCATCGCACCCCCCTGCATGTGCCTGGTCTAAATAGCAGAATAAGTTTGGAATGACACGGTGCATTTGACATGTACAGAAGCTCTACAGGACAGTCTCGCTTATTCATAAAACTTGGCGAAGAAGAACGACAAGCAGTCTGTAATACTAGTTGAGCAAAAGCCCAAACCAGACAAAGAGGCAGTCACCAACAGAGCACATACTAATTAAGGAATTTGCTCACGTTCTGAGACAGCTGCTGAACCAGTAACTCATCAAAAGGGTTAAAGAATCAGGAAACTTTAACGTGTCTGGTTGAGTCATTGAGAAACTGAAGGAGACATGCTTAGCTGACTCTAAATGGACAGCGCTAATAAATCGTACAGGGTCGTTCAGTTTAACCTCACCAGTGTTGCCTGATTCACTGCATTTATATTGGCCCACATCATTTAAGGGGATGTCAAAGGTCAGAGGCCTGTTGTCCCACACTCTCTTTTCCATTAGACACATTGTGGTAGGAGTTCATTGATGTGTTCTTCAACACAGTCTAAAATTTTAATTTTAATATTCATAAATTCACTAGGTAAACTGTTATCTAAATATTTATAACTGGCAAACAAACTGTATTTTGCATTATTATTGTAAATAAATATATATTTCCCCATGGCAATTGGGTTATTTCATGTTTTTTAAACATTACATATTACATTACATATTTGTGAAAAACGGTGCACAAAAACAATGACTTGTTGTGATTTTTTTTTATTTAATTTTTTTTATTCAGCAACCAGCACAACTGTTTAAATTTCATACTGATAATAATAAGAAATGTTTCTCGAGCACCACATCAGTATATTAGAATCATTTCTGATGGATCATGTGACACTGAAGACAGGAGTAATGGCTGCTGACAATTCAACTTGGCTATCATAAAGATACATTTAAAATAAAAATGGAAAGTTATATAAAATTGTTATTATATTTCACAATATTAGTGTTTTTCTGTATTTTTGGTCAAATAAATATAGTCTTGGTGAGCGGGAGACTTCCTTCAAAAACAGTGTAGAAAATTTTACTCACCCCAAAAGCTAAATAAACCTAAATGACTAAGACATTTTCTTGAGAATATCCCAGTGTTGGGATGCGTAACAGTCATTTTTATTTCACAGCAAAGCCAGCTTTGCCTGTATGTAGTGTTCATTTTGGAGCCTGACTGAAACTGTGGGGTTTCAAGGTAACTGTAATTATATGTAACATTGCGTTTTTCTGTTTTGTCCTCTCTCTCTCTAGAACAATGTTACAGCCAGTAAGGAAAAGGAGGAAGTAGAGGCGGCACAGAAGGCATCCGAAGGCCAGGCAGGCCGCCTGTCTCAGGAGGTGGAGAGACTGCGCAAGAGGGCACAGGAGCTGGAGAATGAGGTTGCCAAACTCAACCGCATCATTGATGAAGCCAAGCTGCAGGAGAGCAGGCTCGGGGAGCGAGCTGTCCGTCGGGAGGTACCTTCAGCCCGCTCTTTGATTGCATGAAAAAGAAACGTACATTTATACTCACAACCCCAAGGCAAATGACACATGAACTTCTCATGTGCTGAGATTTTCTGCCGCGGAGTTTTATATTACGTTCTAATGATTACATCAACATGAGGCAGTTTCCCCAGACGAGGATTAAGACTGTCCTGTCCTAATGGGCACTGAATCCCCATTAACTTCTGGGGAAAAGGCTTAATCTGTGTCTTGAAATGCAGACACAGAGATGTAAAACATCTGTAATGCGTTTGTTTGTTACTAGAAAGAGAAAAGGCAGTTGGAGGAGTCTCTTGCTGAGATCAGGGAACAGGAAGAGGAAATGACCCGTGCAAACCGGGCTCTTAGCACTCGCCTAGAGGATGTGCAGGTGAGACCTGGGAAACCCAACTTTGAGCTGGAGCTAAGAAGGGAGCGAAGAGTTTGGTTGAGTTATGAATTTGTTCTTTTGAGTACACTTACACTTTTTGTGTATCTCGTTCAAAAGTTTGGGGTTAGTAAGCTGTTATTTTTGAAAGAATTCTAAATTAGAAGTGAAACAGTCAAGCTCCTGAATAATAATGTGGTTTTTACAGCTTCAGATGTTTCATTTAGGACACACGGTCTTAAAACTATCATTCAGAGCAGCTTTACTATTTCAGTAATTGGCCTAAAGGAAGTCATGTTTTACTGTGTTAAATAACACTTTCCCATCCATAGAGAAACTTGACCACATTGACTCAAGAGCACCATGAGCTGCAGGAGCGACTAAAGGAGGAGAGGAGTCAGAAAGAGCAGTTTAAGAACACCAAGAATGAGATTGAAGATGAGAGGAGGCTGCTGGACCGAACTATGGAGAAACTGCAATGGGAGGTGAGGGAGACCAGAGTGAAAATATGCTTCTTTTTTTTCAAATCATGTCCTAATAAGCTTATTAGTAAGAAATCTTGCTTTCAGTACATGCTTTCAAATTCACTGAGGAGCACAACCTGAGCTGGTTAACTAACGTGATTTGTGTCACAGAAACCTGGGCTGAAGCTGATAAATATCTGAAGAATTGGCAAGTTTCCTCCCCCCCCCTCCTTAGTTCTACTGGTTTTTCAATATCTGTTTCTATCTGTTTAGATGAATGAGATAGTGGAGGCGTCTCAGAGCTCAACTCAGGAGCTGCAGGAGCAGATAGACATGTATAAGGACAAGAACCGGAGGGAAATGGCAGAGCTGCAGAAACAGCTGAGAGAGGGAGGACTGGAGCTGGAGAAATCACGTCTTGCCGCCAAGACCCTTCAGGAGGAGGTGGGTGGAGGAGGGCCGATATATCAAAAGTTTTCAAAAATTGCTAACTTGAAGCCAAGTCTAAAAACAAAAGAACCAGCTGGTCTGAGCTGCAACTGCTTTATTAAGGCCCATTCACACCAAGAACGATAACTATACAACTGTAACCATACATAACTATGTTAGCATCCACCACATCAACCCACAATAACATTCTGTTTATTAAGCACACGCTGCAGTTATTTTGTCAGCCGCTTTAAATGCTTGCGCTCTTTAAAGTTCTGATTGGTTATAACTGTATTTATTATTCATCAGCTTGAAAAAAAAAAGTTCTGAAAGTGGTTCCAACAATATTGTTTCTCTGTGCCGTTATCATAACAGTTTTGGTGTGGATTTCCCTAATCTCATAGAGTTAGTTTTTTTTTTTTTTTTACCATTTTTATAGTTATCGTCCTTGGTATGAACAGGCATGTACCCTTTGATACTTAGTGCTACAAAACACGTAAATATGTCCAAAACTGTGGAATTACCATAGTAACTGTCCAAAAAAGTTCCATTATGCAGTTTGTTTAACTTGGAATACAGATAGGAAAATCACATTTTATTGGTAGGATCATCCGATGTAAACATTTGAAAGTGAAACACAGAGAAGCCTGTCAGTGTTTAAGCCCTTATTCTCATAGTTTATGCTTTAAATGTTTACCTCGGATGATCCTACCAATAAAATGTGATTTTCCTATCTGTATTCCAAGTTAAACAAACTGCATAATGGAACTTTTTTGGACAGTTACTATGGTAATTCCACAGTTTTGGACATATTTACGTGTTTTGTAGCACTAAGTATCAAAGGGTACATGCCTGTTCATACCAAGG